AACAATTCTGGGTCTGTCACCCTGAGTAAACCAATTCTCTGGCACTCAGAACAATTCTGTCTGTCCCTGAGTAACAATTCTCTGGCACAGTAACAATTTCGTCTGTCCCATGATATAATTCTGTGGCCCTGAGTAACAATTCTGTGTCCTTGCGAGTAACAGTCTGTGTCGTGCATAGTAACAATTTTGGTGTCTGTGGCGAGTAACAATTCTCTGGCCTCAGTAACAATTACAATTCTCTGGCACTCAGTAACAATTCTGTCTGTCCCTGAGTAACAATTCTTTCACTCTCTGGCACTCAGTAACAATTCTGTCTGTCCCTGAGTATGAATTCTGTGGGCCCTGAGTAACAATTCTGTGTCTGTGCGAGTAACAATTCTGTGTCTGTGCAACTCAAGTAACAATTTTGTGTCTGTGCGAGTAACAATTCTCTGGGCACTCAGTAACAATTCTGTCTGTCCCTGAGTAACAATTCTCTGGCACTCAGTAACAATTCTGTCTGTCCCTGAGTAACAATTCTCTGGCACTCAGTAACAATTCTGTCTGTCCCTGAGTATGAATTCTGTGGCCCTGAGTAACAATTCTGTGTCTGTGCGAGTAACAATTCTGTGTCCCTGCAAGTAACAATTTTGTGTCTGTGCGAGTAACAATTCTCTGGCACTCAGTAACAATTCTGTCTGTCCCTGAGTAACAATTCTCTGGCACTCAGTAACAATTCTGTCTGTCCCTGAGTAACAATTCTCTGGCACTCAGTAACAATTCTGTCTGTCCCTGAGAGTAACAATTCTCTGGCACTCAGTAACAATTCTGTCTGTCCCTGAGTATGAATTCTGTGGCCCTGAGTAACAATTCTGTGTCTGTGCGAGTAACAATTCTGTGTCTGTGCAATAACAATTTTTGTGTCTGTGCGAGTAACAATTTCTCTGGCACTCAGTAACAATTCTGTCTGTCCCTGAGTAACAATTCTCTGCACTCAGTAACAATTCTGTCTGTCCCTGAGTAACAATTCTCTGGCACTCTCAGTAACAATTCTGTCTGTCCCCTGAGTAACAATTCTCTGGCACTCAGTAACAATTCTGTCTGTCCCTGAGTAACAATTCTCTGTCTGTCGAGTAACAATTCTGTCTGTCTGAAGTAACAATTCTCTGGCACTCCAGTAACAATTCTGTGTCTGTGCGAGTAACAATTCTCTGTGCACTCAGTAACAATTTTGTGTCTGTGCGAGTAACAATTCTCTGGCACTCAGTAACAATTCTGTCTGTCCCTGAGTAACAATTCTCTGGCACTCAGTAACAATTCTGTCTGTCCCTGAGTAACAATTTCTCTGGCACTCAGTAACAATTCTGTCTGTCCCTGAGTATGAATTCTGTGGCCCTGAGTAACAATTCTGTGTCTGTGCGAGTAACAATTCTGTGTCTGTGCAAGTAACAATTTTGTGTCTGTGCGAGTAACAATTCTCTGGCACTCAGTAACAATTCTGTCTGTCCCTGAGTAACAATTCTCTGGCACTCAGTAACAATTCTGTCTGTCCCTGAGTAACAATTCTCTGGCACTCAGTAACAATTCTGTCTGTCCCTGAGTATGAATTCTGTGGCCCTGAGTAACAATTCTGTGTCTGTGCAAGTGTGCGAGTAACAATTCTGTGTCTGTGCAAGTAACAATTTTGTGTCTGTGCGAGTAACAATTCTCTGGCACTCAGTAACAATTCTGTCTGTCCCTGAGTAACAATTCTCTGGCACTCAGTAACAATTCTGTCTGTCCCTGAGTAACAATTCTCTGGCACTCAGTAACAATTCTGTCTGTCCCTGAGTAACAATTCTCTGGCACTCAGTAACAATTCTGTCTGTCCCTGAGTATGAATTCTGTGGCCCTGAGTAACAATTCTGTCTGTGCGAGTAACAATTCTGTGTCTGTGCAATAACAATTTTGTGTCTGTGCGAGTAACAATTCTCTGGCACTCAGTAACAATTTGTCTGTCCCTGAGTAACAATTCTCTGGCACTCAGTAACAATTCTGTCTGTCCCTGAGTAACAATTCTCTGGCACTCAGTAACAATTCTGTCTGTCCCTGAGTAACAATTCTCTGGCACTCAGTAACAATTCTGTCTGTCCCTGAGTAACAATTCTGTCTGTCCCTGAGAATGAATTTCTGTGGCCCTGAGTAAGAATTCTCTGGCACTCAGTAACAATTCTGTCTGTCCCTGAGTAACAATTCTCTGGCACTCAGTAACAATTCTGTCTGTCCCTGAGTAAAAATTCTGTGGCCCTAATAACGTTTCTGTGGCCCTAAGTAACAATTCTCTGGCACTGAGTGAAAATTCTGTCTGTCCCTGAGTATGAATTCTGTGGCCCTAACTAGCGTTTCTTTGTCCCTAAATAACGATTCTGTGGCCCTCATTAACAAGTCTGTGTCCCTGAGTAATGGTTCTCTGTCCCTAAGTAACTTCTCTCTGTCCCCAATTCTCGTTTCTGTGGCCCTAACTCTGTCCCTGTCCCTAGTACAGAGCGGTCTGCCTCTGTTCAATGACTGCAGGCAAATGAAGATTTCCAAAATGGCCGCTATATATACCTCGACCATTACACAGTGCTGGCTGGCTGGCTGCTGATTGGCTGATGCGATCACATGTCGTTGAGGAATGCATTATGGGGCAGCGCGCCTTGTCTGCGCGCCTTCCCCGACATCCCCGCTCCGTCGCCGCACATGTCAGCCGCCATTTTCGGAAAAATTTTCGATTCGCGCGTCCGAATTAGGCTGTTTTTCGGATTCGGCACGAATCGAAATTTTTCCGATATTCGACCGACTCGAATTCCACTTCGGATACTTCGATTCGCTCAATCTCTAATATATATATATATATATATATATATATATATACACGCACACTCACACATGATTTGGGCACCACTGCCACCCTGTAGCAATATTTCTGCTATAGGATGGAGGGGAAGTGGTGTTCATATTGATCACAGTAGAATAAAAGCCATGGTAATACAGGAAATGGTTTGTCATTATTGTGACCACATTTACTTACAAAGAAAAAAACAAAAGGTTATGTAGCCCTCTTTTTTATGGGGGGTAATGAGAAATGGCCCTCCCCAAGCAGGATATTGCACTAAACCTGTAGGTAAATAAGAGAATCAGAACCTTTCTTTGCTAAGTGGAAGAGTGGGTTTGATAATAATGTTGGCAGAGCCCAGGGGTGGACTGACAACTCATGGGGCCCCTGGGCAATAGGGGATCATGGGGCCCCTGTGTCCTTGCCCAAACTCCAAAAAGTCTATGAAAAAGATACCAGGGGCATCTCATGGGGTCCCCTACTGACCCCGGGCCCTCGGGCAGTGCCCGAGTTTCCAATTGGTCAGTCCGCCCCTGCAGAGCCTCCACCCAGGACAGGGCCCCTGTGAGCAGAGGGGATTCTATTCCTGGAAATTAATCAGTAATCTAACCAAAGTAATTGGGTGCAAAATGACTACTGCAACCAGCATACAATGTGGCTAGGGTATAAAAGACGCCTTGACCATGCTACCTGACCCAACACCCCCCCCCCCATCCTCAGCCACTACCAAGAATGACCAGACATGACACCAACTGGAGTTTAAATGGCCATAGCAGCCTTTTATTAACTGCTTCCCCTTCTCCCTATACCAGAAATATTGCTACAAGGCAGCTGGGGGTGTGCAGAATCACGTATATATGCACGTGATTTTGTAGTTCCGGGTAGGAGTCGGGGCACGTGCGTGCCCTACCCGCGCCGCCATTCGCAATCTCAGCTATCAATTACTGGGTCGGGGCCAGTGATTACTCCAACAGGGGAGAGACCTTATGTAAACAATACAGTTCTTTCCCCTGTCTGCTTCTGCACACTTCTTTGTATGGCTCTGCATAGCAAAGTCACACAAAACAGTGTGCTTACAGTGAAAAAAAGACACAGCACACGTAGTAAAACAGCACACAGTTAACCCTTTGATTGCCCCGATGTTAATCTGTTCCTGCCCAGTGCCATTAGTACAGTGTCAGTGCTTTTTTTTTTTTGGCACTGATCACTGTATTGGAGTCACTGGGGACAGAAAATAAGTTCCATCCAGTGTCAGAATGCCCACTGCAGTCTCTGATCGCCATTACTAGTAAGGAAAACAAACATTCCTGAATGTATACCACCATTTGTAAACGCTATAACTTTCACGTACATATTTCAGCAAAGACATGTCGCAGAACATTTTGGACTAAATTTATGATTACTTTTTTTTTTTTTTTTTTTTTTTTACTGGACATGTTTAATAGCAAAAAGTCAAAAATATAGTTTTTTTTCTCAAAATTGTCGGTCTTTTTTTGTTTATAGCGCAAAAAATTAAAAACCGCACAGGTGATCAAATACCACCGAAAGAAAGCTCAATTCTTGGGGGAAAAAAAGCATGTACATTTTATTTGGGTGCAGTGTTGCATGACCGTGCAATTGTCAATTAAAGTAACACAGTGCCGTATCACAAAAAATGGCCTGGTCAGGAAGGGGGGTAAATCCTCTGGAGAGCAAGTGGTTAATATACACAGTGCTTATAATATAGGGGAGCAATTGACCTTCTCCCACAATGTAGTGCTCAGGCCCAAATGCTCAAACACAGGCTCCTTAGGAGGGCAAGTGGTTAACCAAATATAAACACATTAAAAATATCACCATATAAACATACAGACAGTATTCAAGGGCCCCCAAAGTACTTTAAGTACCTGCGTATACCACTATCTTGGCCTCCAGCTGCAGAAACACTAGGAGACAAACCGGTACTGCAGGTAGCACAGTCAGAATAATGGGAGTCATACCCAAGATGGGTCCCTACAAATGTACCTTTTTTGCCCCTAATCATAACACATCCAAGGACCTCGTGCCCTGCCAGCTGCCATGACAAAAAAAAAGACACAGACCCTCCACTCAGCAAAATAGACCGAAGAAACCAAACTAGCAAACCTCCAAGGGCGGGAGAGGTGGGAAGTTGTCCTCTCCAGGCTCTCTTCCAACTGAAGACCCTCCCATGTATCCAGCTCCTAAAGCCCCACATGCTCCATTCCTTTTTACTAATCTGGACAGTACCCCTAAACTATTTACATTTAATCCCCAGTGACTCCTCCTTTGTCCAAACCCCTTTTAACCCCAATCATGTTGGCCCTATGTCTATGCCTCTTCTTTTCCTTTACTCTGGTCCTGACTTTAACCATAACTATGAGGGGCATTCAAGTCAAACCAGAACTTTTGAGATTATACACTCACCAGTTACTTTGTTAGATACACATGTTCAATTGCTTGGTAACACAAAGTGCTAATCAGCCAATCACATGGCAGCAACTCAACACATTTAGGCATCTAGACGTGGTAAAGATTACATGCTGAAGTTCAAACTGAGAATCAGAATGGGGAAGAAAGGGGATTCAAGAGACTTTGAACAGGACATGATTGCTGGTGCCAGACAGGCTGGTCTGAATATTTCAAAAACTGCTGATCTATGGGATTTTAATGCACAACCAACTCTAAGGTTTGCAGAGAATGGTCTGAAAAAGAGAAAATATCCAATAAGTGGCCGTTGTGTGGATGAAAATGCCTTACTGATGTCAGAGGAGAATGAGCAGACTGGTTGCTGTGACATTCAGATAGTAGGGTCAGAATCTGGCATAAACAACATGAAAGAGTGGATCCATCCTGCCTTGTACTCATGGTTCAGACAGGAGGTGGCGATGTAATGGTGTGGGGGATATTTTATTGGCACTATCAAGGTGTACTTAATAAAGTGGCTGGTGAGTGTATAATAAAAACAAATTTCAAGGAATGGAAACTGCATTTATTTTTTTTACATACTCCCCTGCTACATTTATACACTTATCTCAGCATTTAATGCCTTGAAAGCTTCGGCATAGAAAGATATGTCAGTATGTCTGAACCATCCTAGGACAGCCGGCTTCACCTCATCATCAGTGCTGAAATGCTGACCTCCACAGAACTCTTTTAGGAGTCCAAACAGGTGGTCCAGGCTGCAGGGGGATGTAACAATACCTACCAGCCAAGTTGCTATAATGTAAACCTAGTGCGGTGAGCAGTATAAGCCCGTACGTCATCCTGGAGAAACAGCATGCCCTTAGTGATCAAATCAGGCCATTTTTTCAACAGATGCGCATGCACATTACTCAGAACATTCACTGTTGATAGTGGCACCACAGGGTCGAAAATCCACATGAATGACCACGGCCGGGATTGTCACTGACGGATGTATGGCCATCTTTGAAATGTTTACACCATTCAAAAGTCTTACTGTGGCTGAACGTCTCATCACCGTACTGTGCTTGAAGTATTCTGCAGAAATCCACAGTTTTTATGCCTTTGTTCGCAAGAAACTTCATCAGCACTGTCTGGAGCACTGTCTCTTTAAGGGCTGGTTTCTATACTACCAGCCCTCCTCACCCACACACACAATGGCTTTCAGTGACCCCATGCAGCATCGGGTCAACGGTCCATTACAGCAGAACTTACAGTGTCACCGTGGTTGAGAGAGACTCCGGATTTGCTACCAGCTTCTGAAACACCCGGGGTTAGCACTAAAATCGAACTACACTGAATCCGAGCGACACAAACCAGAAACAGGAATTAATTCATTCTAATATTCAAAGCAATCCCCCATCCCTGTCGCTTCTAGGCAGTTCAGGAGGAATATCCAGAGGGCTCAGATTTGGGACAGGACTGAGAAGCTCTGTAGACCAGCTTCTCTAGAATTTTCCCCTGCTCTGGGGAGGGCCTTAGAAGCAGTGGGCGGATCTGAAGAGCAGCTGCCTGCACCCCTTTACGGATCCCAGCCAATCCCAAACAAGAGGTTGCAGGAGCTGGACTCCTTAAAAGGGGGATGGAGCTTGCTCAGTCAGGAGGAGTTGGAGGAAGAGGACAGAAGATGTGGGAGGTGGAGGTGAAAATGGTTGGGTGGAAGAATGAAGGAGAGTGCAGAGTGCTGTGAGGCAGCCAGAAGGTCCGCTGGGATGAGGCCTACCTGCAAGCCTGGTGCTGAGAAAGAGAAAGCTGAGGACTCCCAGGACTCAGTCAAGAGCAACACCTAGGGAGCAGGAAGGAGCCATCCAGCTTTGGAGGAAGCTCTCTGCTGGGAAACCATATCAGCCCCCTTTGCTAGAGATTGTCCACTTTTTCAAGGGAACAGGATCCGGGTCCCCAGCTCAGGACTAGAAAGAGACTTTGTCTTGGGGAGGTGCTGGCTCTCCAATCGTGTGGCCTTAAAAGGAGAAGTTGTATATAGTCAGGAAGTTGTCCTCCACGTTCAATCCATTGGGCATCCTATATCTCCCTATACCCTATCTAAGTTGATATCCCCCAATAAAAGCAACAAAACGCTCATTGACTGGATTCCTGACTGTAAGTGCATGTTCATGTGGGGGTGCTGAAGGACTGGACAAGCAGGATTATTGGGGGACCTACCTAAAATAAATGTTCCTGAGCGGCTCCTCCGGGGGCAGTGCTACACGTCTCCATCCATCCACCCACCGATGTCAACATCTATCCATCCGTGTCTCCATCCATCATCCATCTGTATCTCCATCCATCATCCATCTGTGTTTCCATCCATCCATCATGAATGAGATCACTTTGAAAAACACCCCTCTAAAATGTTTAGCTGCAGCAATTTTTTTGCTCTTCTTCCACAGATCAGTGTGAAAGCAGCCATACCTGTGCAGGATCCAGTGTCGTCCTCACCCGAATCGGTTCTTCACTGGTCCCTGGCACCAGGATGTTCATTGTAGGAAGCTGGGTTCCCACTGAGCATGTGCGGGCCGCCCTGAACTGAATGAATCGTCCTGCAGTCTTCTAGAACCTGTGATGTGTCCCAGAAAGCTGCGGGCAGAGGAAGGGGGTTAACTTCCTTTCAGGTCACCTAGGTGATCTGGGCAAAAGTGGGAGTGGCTACCTGTCAAACCCAGATCCCCCCTTTTCCCCAAAAGAGAAAATTATCCAAAAGTGGAGGGAGGGCAAAAAAGCGCAATATATTTGTGAAGCTCCAGAGCCTCTTAGATATTTTCAATCTTTTTTTTTTCTTTTGTCTGTGACCCCAGAGGGGATAATGACCCTCACTTCCGGGACAGGAAGACATGGACATGAATGGAAACATTGTCAGGCTCTGTAGCCGTTCCCTAATTTCCCATCTGGGGAGGCTGCCCCTGCTCCTGTGCGTCGGGATCGGCATTAAATGAAGAGCTGCAGGCACGTTCTGCATTTTCCCCTTAGGGGTCAAGGATCTGGTCCTGGAATTGGTATGAAGCCTGAGGCTGGCCATGACCGGGAGGGACAGGGTGAATATTAATATTAAGACTCCTCCTTGGTGCGCTGACTACTGAGCGTGTAGAAGGGCGCGGTTCTAGAGC